GTCTGGCTCCACCAAAGGTCAAAATTCTTATATGGCAAGTGCTAAGGGGCAGAGTAGCCATTAAAGAGGAGCTTGTTAAGAGAAATCTCTTACATTCTGAGGCGGTTAATTGTGTGTTATGTAACAATGAAGTGGAATCAGTCACCCATCTTTTCTTCTCTTGCATTGAATCTTGGAGGTTGTGGTGCTTGTGGTGTCATGAATGGCAATTCAGTACTTGTATGCCAATGGACCCTATTTCATTTTTTAAAGCTTGGAATTCTCATTATGTGGAATTGGTCAAGAGAAAAGTGTGGAGGATGTCCTTCTTCGCCATTGTTTGGTCTATCTGGCTTTATAAAACTAAAATGATCTTTGAGGGGAAAATATGGGATTTGATGAAAGTGCTGGATATTATTAAGTTGAGAGTGGCATGGTGGGTCAAGTCCAAATGGCCTTTCGACAATGTCGTTGCTGATATTGCTACTACTCCTTTTTTGGCTTCCACTATTGCCTTAAAGAGAAAGGTTAAGAGCATAGCCTTTTGGTAATGTCCACCTGTAGGTTGGTTCAAATTTAATACCGATGGGGCTGCTAGAGGATGTCTAGGCCATCTTGGAATTGGAGGATTTTTAAGAGAAAACAAAGGGCTATCAAGATGACTTTTTCAAAGAAAGCAAGTTGGGGAGATGCAAACCTTGCAGAAATCCTTGTAGTGAAAGAGGCTATGGTTCTGTTTACTGCCTTTTCATGGGTGAACTCTGCTGGTATTATCATTGAATCTGACTTCAAGAATGTGGTCTTATGGATGACACACCCCAAGAAAACCCCATGGAAGTTACGACAACTCATCCTTTAAACTGTTTCCCTTGAAAATAGAGTTGTTGGTTGGAAGATAAAACACACACCAAGGTCAGGTAATGTGGTCGCTGATAACCTTTCCAAATCAGGGATTGGCAGCGCCCATGATCTGCTCTGTGTGTACCCATAACTGATTGAGTGATTGATCATGCTTTTGACTATGTTGATTTCAGTTTACTGCTAAGTTGTAGGTGCAGATCCTTTATGCATGATATGGCCTATCAGCTTTATTGGGTTGTTTTGCTTTTGTTTGGATTTGTAAAAGAGAGAAGCATCCAAAATGGTCATGTTTCTCACTCTTGCTCTCCTTTCACCCTTTTTGGCTATTTGAGGGTGGCTGTAATTTTTGAGTTTGACCAATATTAATATTTTGTAGTTGTATAGCATTTTGACTTCAGCTGGCTTTTTTGTATGCCAAGCTTCAGGAAGAGCACCTAGACCAAGTTCCCCTAGCTATGTCCTCTCCTTTTTGTGTATATAAGGGATTTCACCCAGCTTTAATGAAAATGACTTTAATCTTCCAAAAAAAAAAATTAATGCTTTAACTGATTTTTTCCCTTTTGAGTTCTCTAAGGCCTATATCACTTTGGTTCCAAAGAAAGATAATCCTGAGACTATACCAGACTTTAGACCTATTAGTTTGTTTAGCACTTCATGTATAATTCTTATGAAGTCGATTGTGAATAGATTGAGACCATTATTAAAAGAGATGGTTGGACCATTTTAGGGCAGTTTTCTACCAAGTAGAAGCACTAGTGATTACATTATAATTACCTAGGAGGTTGTGCCCTCGCTTATGAAGCAGAAAAGTAGGAGAGGAGAGGTAATTTTGAAGATTGATCTGCACAAAGCTTACGATTGTCTTGGTTGGGAGTTCTTGCATAAGGTATTAGTGGATTTTAACTTTCCACCACAACTTAGTTTCTTGATCATGCTTTGTGCAACATCTAGTCAGCTATTGGTAATTTGGAGTGGTGAGTTGCTTCCTTATTTCTCTACATAGAGAGGTTTGGGACAGGGGGATGCCATTGTCCCTATATCTATTTATTTTATGCATGGAAAAATTGTCTCATATGATTCAGGAGAAGGTCCATAAGAGAAAATGGAAGCCAATTAAAACTTCTTGAGCAAGTCCTGCTTTGTCGAATTTGTTTTTTGCAAATGATCTTCTTCTTTCTGCCCAGGTGGAATCAAAATAGTTACAAGTGATGATGGAAGGCTTAAATAATTTTGCAGCAGCTTCTGGCTTGGTGATTAGCCCACCAAAGTCGAAAATGTTTGTCTCCCCAAATGTTCCTCGATCAGTTGTGAATTCTCTTAAGTTGTGATCGTGGTATTCCACTTACTGAAGATTTGGGTAAATATCTTAAAGAGCCACTTGTACGTAAAAGAGCCTCGAAACATCTTTATGCATCTATTGTAGACAGTCCGAGATAGAATGGCTAATTGGAAGAAAAATGTGTTATCAAAAGCAGGGCGAAGGATTTTGGTTCTATCAATTATGAATGCCATCCCAGTTTATACAATGTAATCAGTTTTACTTCCTATGGCGTCTTCTCAACAGCTTGACAAGATTGCTAGAAATCTCTTATGTACTGGTTCAAAAGATAATCCACATAATCACTTAGTTAATTGGGATACAGTGTGTTTTCCAAAGAATAAAGGAGGCTTGGGACTACATCAACCAGGGACTCTAATTTGTCTTTACTAGCAAAGGTTGGCTGTCAGCTTGAAAATCACTCAAGTCTTTATCTTTTGAAGTGCTGAAAGCTAAATATCTGCGTAAATCTAATTTCCATTTGGTTCCAATTTTTGAAGATGCTTCATCCACATGGAGAGGCATTATCAAGTGCCGCTCATTATTAAAATTGGGAAAGAAGTGGATTATTAGGGATGGCAATAAGGTGAACTTCTGGACTGATTGGTGGGTTGGTGAGGACCATTTTTTTCAACATGCCACAGGGTGTGTTAGTGATGATTTGCTCCACAACAGGGTGTATGAGTTCATTGATGAAGACAAACAATGAAGGCTATAACAACTTCAACACTTGCTTTAACAAAAATCTTAGAAATCAAGGTAATTCCGCTTGCCATTTTAAATCCTCTAACAGATAAAGTTGTGTGGAGAGTAGAGAGTAATGGAGTCTGCGCTACAAAGTCAGCATATGGTCTGTTGCAAGCATAAAGAACTGAACATTTACAAGTGGCTAATTTACGGTGGTTATAAAGGCTTGAATGTACAGCACGAGCGCGTTTCTTTTTGGGGACGTTATACCATAACAATCTTAACGCAAATGAAACCAGGAAAAAGAAACATTTGGTGGAAGATGCAACTTGTAAAAGACGTTTACAAGCAGATGAAACAGCAATTCATTTATTTCGAGATTGTTCTTTTGCGAAAGATGTTTGGAGGCCGTGGAGACAGGTGGGGTTTGACCAAACAGGATTTTATAGCTTGAATTTAAAAGAATGATTGTGGCAGAACTGTGTTTCTTAGGTTCGGCTTATTGATGATTTCCTATAGAGAATTCAGTTCGTTTCGACTTTATGTAGGAACAATCTGATTTTCAAGTACAAGTAAGCTATGGTTAAGAGCTCAGGGACTAGCTAGAGAGATTGAAGCTGTTGCGGAAAAGAAGAGCAACGGTTGTAGGATAAACAAATGAATCTTGTGGAAGCCACCTGACCTACCCAGGTCGTTTTGCTCTTAACACTGATGGTGCTTTTAAATTGGGTCAGGTTGTGCTTCAGTTGGAGGTCTCTTTCGTAGCACGGATGGAGAATGGGAGCAAGGGTTCGTTGTTAACACTGGGATTACAGACAGCGCAGCTGCTGAGTTATGAGGCATCAGAGAAGGCTTATTACTTGCTATGAGTCTGCAGATACAACAACTGGTGGTTGAATTGGACGCAATAATGTTGGTCAAATTTCTGATAGAGGCTGCAAATCAAAATCATCCCTATTTTACACTAGGCCATGATTGTCTCGTCTTGATAGAAGAAAGGTGGGTGATGGAAATTCGGCATATTTTCTTGTGAAGAAGGTAATAAATGTGCTGATTTTCTTGTGAAATTGACGCAAAATTGCCTTTTGGGAACAACTCATCTAACAAATCCTCCTAAAGAGTTATGTTTGTTACTTATAAAAGACTTGCTAAGCATACCTAGCCTGGGATTTTAAATCGGAACATCCGGATCGTATGTATCAAAAAAAATATACGTAAAATATACTAATTTATTATATATACATATACAAATCATAATCATAATAATTTAATATTAATTATATATTTATTTATTTATAAATTTGTAATAATATAAAATTACAAGTTATATATTTTAAATGATATAATTTATATGTTAATATTAATAGATGGTAGTAAATATCTTACATATTAATATGTTATAATTATTGCACTTTAGTAAAGTTTCATAATATAAAATGTTTTGAGTATATATATTTGTATAAACATGTTATATATTTAATTTTTACATAAATATTACTATAACTTATAATAAATTTTAATTATATGATTACACTTTATAACTTTATTAGTTATCACTTTAGTTTTTATAAAGTATTGTTTATAATTAGTTATTATTCATACAAACTTTGATATAAAAACATTATAATATATAAATTTTGTCATTAGTTTCACATATATATATTTATATATATAAAACAAAGTAATACATATAAATATATACTTTATAAAATTAACATATCATTTATACTTATTATAAATAACTAATTAATATTTTACAAAATAATAATTTAGTTAATAGTTAATAAACAATATATTATAAATAAATAACAAAATAATATTGATTTTGTTTACAATTTAATAATATTAAATAAGTTATATTATGTATTAATGTCTAATATATTATGAATATTTAAAGATATTATTAATTATACATATATAATAAAGTTTAATATAAATATATTTAAGTTTGTTATTATTAATAATTATTCATTTATTAATAAAATATAAATTATTTAAACTTTTGTTGAAGTTGTGTGGGTAGATGGAAAGTAAACTAAGCCTTTACCAAATCTACTACCCTTTCAAGTTAATTTTAAAAGTTAACTATACGGATGAGTCAAATACTAATCCTCAGCCCTTAACCCATGTGCGTGGCTTAGTCACTTTACAAAAATTCCCTACTTTGCTCAGATCAGTTGAACCATTGTCCCTTGTTGCCTCTTCTCATGTTGTGACCAGAGAGACGTTGAAGCTTCCCATGCTGTGCCGACTGAAGGTTCCCTGCTTTGCTCTCCAGACTCTTCACTTTTGATCTACAGTTTTAGAGCTTAAGGTTTTTACTTATTCTTTTCTTGTTATTCTTTTTTTCCTATTTAGTTACCAAGAAATGTGGAGGAAAGTATCTATACCTTGCAATAATAATCTTTTCATCTTCACTATAATAGCCAATAAAATGTAGCATAGAGTTAAGAGTTGTTCGGAAAAAGAAAATAAAGTTTTGAGATTCACACAGCTCCAAAGAAGTAGAAATTTTGAATAATTTTGTTAAGGAAACATCTCCTATTCTCATCCCAATAAACTACTTAATACTTTACCAAAGAAAATTTTGGCTATTAGTTCCACTCAATGGTCAGGGATGTCGTGGTCATCAACTTGGATTATTAAATGTAATACTTTGGTTCTCGGTAATGATTAAAGGGTAAATCATACAAATTGTTGTGCCCAATTAGCAAAGGGGCTTGCTAGTAAACAAAAATAGTTGTGAAAGACACTTTAGCTAACGATTGTGGCTTTTACATAACATTCTAGATAGTGCAGTGGGTTGGAAAACATAGAAACATCACAAGCACCAAATTGTTTTGCTCTTGACTAACCCCATTTTCGTCTTTATTTGCATCTGGTTGGACGAAGGAAAGAAAAACATGGTGTATTCGGGTGAAGGATTCGGGTCCCATTTGTCCTTAACCAAGAATGCCAAAGTAAAACTAGAACAAGGTATTTAAGTTGCTTTCTACTATATTTCAATTTTGTAAATATTATTCATCATTGATAACTCTAGTAATTTAATATTCTGTAACATGTAATTATTACATTGGAAATATACAAAAGGGTTTGAAGAGGTAAATAAATTTTGCTACATGTTTTTGTTTATCTTTCTACCCTTGCGCAACTCATAATTGGAATGGTGGAGCATTAAGATTGAAGCAAAACAGGGGCTTCCCTTCCCCCGTCTGCTACTATCTCTTTTGTATACTGCATGGTTAAGGGTGCAAAGTTCCAAACAAGATTAACAAAAGGCCAATGCACGACAGGTTGAATATTACTTATTTTTACCACATATTATATTTGTATTCTTTTTTTGATTTACTAGTTCCACATTAGAATTGTTTGTCTTTGATTTTTTTATGAAAGTTAATGTAATTGATCCTAATAATGAAGTTTGGTGAAGGCATTTTAAATAATAAAAACATGTTTATCAAGTCCTAATTTGAGCTTACATTGTTTCTTGAGCTTTCCTCATGATGTGTCTTGATTTGAAATGCAATCCTTTTTGCCTTCACAACATGAGTCAGCTACAAAAACAATTGACAATAATGTGTGGGTTGAAGTTCATAACTTCAAACAGTGCTAAGTTATGATTTTTGCCAAGCAAGTTAAGGAGTAGGTGTTCTTGGATACGCTGATGGCCTTGGTGCAACAACATTGCCATTGTTTGATTGATTGCATTCCTATGCCACAGGAAATTGCAAAACAGGCTCATTTATATTTTAAAAGGGTTAGGTTTGTTATTTTCATTTTATCTATTGATATCTTTGTCAATGTACTTCACTACAATTGATAACAATAGTGGTGGAGATAAAAGCAGCAACAGCTTCTATTGTTCTTAAAATAAGAACTTGATTTTTCTCAAAAATGGCTTGTTAAGATCTACTTAGTTGAGTAGTAATAGATTATGCATTTTGATATTATGATCTGGTTGGAGTGCCTTTGTCATCTATGTATGATTCTAAATGAAGTTTGTCTCAGGCAATTGATGAAGCTGAAGTTTAGTGGAGCCAGCACAATGCAAAGAAGCTCATTAACACAAGTGATAAGGGATTCCGTGGTTTGATTCCCAAAAGCTTCCCATACTTCCACATTGAATTTGGTTTAAACTAGGGATTTGTTCATGTAATTGATGATGAAGGCCAATTCAAGAGCAACCTTGGTCTCAATGTTATTATAGGCAAGCTATAACTGCCAGAAGAAGACATGTATCGTCACTAGAGGCATAAATCTGTGAAAGAACAAGAGTAGGGTTTCGTAAGTTTTGCTCGTGATTGGGAACATTTTGACTGGACAAAACAACTTCACTAAGTAGGAATTGAAGTAGGAAATCACCAAAGTTGCATCCAGGTAATAATGGAAAGCACGATGGGATATTTGCATTGTCATCCTTACCTACAATTGTTAGACTTGATAAACATAAGACTTGGGTAATTTTCTAGTATGGTGTACAATAGTACGTTTAGATTTATGATTATATTTGTTTGACATTTTTAGATATTGTGTATTTATGACGATTTCTAATTGCATGAACTTGACTTTGAATTTTATATTTTTATGCGTATTTTTCGTATAAATTTTGAATGTGAATTGGGGAAGTTAATTGATAATTTATTACCGAAATTTTAATTGATACTTTCTATTGGACATGCATTATTGATCAAAAATTCTGCTGGAAATGCATTTCCAATGAAAATTCCGTTGGAAATATTTGACGGAATTCCATTGGAAATGCTTCTCCAATAGAACATTCTGTTAGAAATTTTTGACAGAATTTCGTTGGAAAAGCATTTCCAATGGAAATTTCCAAAGTAATTGATACAATACATCCGACAGATTTTGCACATTTTTCAACGAAATTTTTTGTCAGAAATTTCCAACGGATTTTCAATAGAAAGTATTTTCATCGATGCTTTTACTGATGCAGTTTTCAATGGAATTTTCCATTGAAAATATGTCAAAAAAAGGCATTTTCAATGGAATTTTAATTTTTTTCAAGGAAAAATTTTATCGAAAAAACTTAATTTTTGGTAGTGATAAAGTAATGCCAGGGGCAATTTTGAAAATTTTTTGCACTTTTCCTATAGTGAACTAAGTGTTGAAATTTACATGGATAGAAAGCTTTTTAAGTGTGGTTTCCAACATATTAAACGAATCTTTATTTTGAGTTTCATAGGTTAAGATATGGTCATTTTAGTGAATGATGTGCAAGCTGTCCATATTTCTAATTTAGGAGAGTTTGGGTTATTTGTGTAGTTTCAAGTAATAAATAGATTTTAGAGAGTTAGATTGTTTTTAATATGTTTAAATGGTTGTTAATAGGCTTTTGATTATTTTGGGAGGAAGTGAGTTTGTTTAGAATCAAGAAAGGTAAGTATATCTTCACACATTTGTTTCAAAATTATCGTATATGTATATTTCTTGAAAGAATAAAATGTTTTAATTCATTATTTTCAATATACGAAAATAGGGTCAAGCATATGATTATTTTTTGTTTTGAGCTTAATAATATGATGAACATTAGTTTATGAATGATTTAGTGTACTTAAGTGACGAATAGTGGATTTATGAATGATTTGATTTATATACATGACGAACATTGCTTTATAAATGTAATAGTTTATTTGTATGAAGAATATTGATTTACGAATGAAATGAAATCTTTGACCATCCTTAAAGAATATTTTAAGAGCTACAAAATGATCATTGGGAAGTAGACAATTGACACCAGAACTAGTTCTATGACCTTGCTAATGAGATGTAATAGTTAACGCATGACCTTGCTAATGGGATATAATAGTTAGTAACAATCATGACAAAATTAGTCGATACGACCCTTGTCATGGGATATAATAGTGACCATTGCTAAGATGATGAAATTTTTACAAGTTTCAAAGATTGAAACTATGATTTGTTTTAGCAATATTTTAAAAATGATATTAGATGATCAATTATTTATAAATATATGAAATTCCTCATTTTGGATATAATGATTTGTTTATTTGTTTGAAAGCATGATTTAGTCAAGTGCTGCTGAATGAACTATATGACATATTGAAAACAATGCTTGATATAAGAGGGTGTGTGTTGTTGTACTTGTTGAGCTATGGTTTGCTCATTCCTTAACTTACAGTTTTGCAAATGCCTAGAGTTTGAGAGCTTCAGAGTTATGGGAGCTAAGAGAACAATATGCGATGTCTACCTTAGTGTCAATACATTGTTAGTTATCTTAAGACTTTACCACATGTAATTGATATATCAGTTTCTAGTTGTTTAATTACCTTTCATCTTGGAGACTTTAATTGCATTGTAATAGTTACATAGAAGAGAATGTAAGTATGGAATTGTCAATATGGCTTCATTTGCGCTATAAGAATGAAAGGTACAAAAGCTTTGTATTACTTTGGGGTTTAGTCATGAAGTAACATGGTCATGTCATGTCTTGGTTTTTAGGCGTGACAATTATACCTTAACCAAGTGAAAAGGTCGAGGGGTTACATCTTATCTTTCAAAAGACTATTATAAAGGTTAAGTCTAATCCTTGACAAGACTGGTTCGTAAATGTTATGCATGAACCTTGAAAGGAATTTTTATAATAGATTCTAAACTCCTTGGTGAGCCAAAGGAGAGGATGTAAGCAAAAAGGTTGAACTTTTATAAAAATCTTTGTGTCTTCTTTGCTTCATAAAATTGTTTTTCAATCTTGTTAGTTCTTCATTTCATTTTTGAAACACTTGAAATAATTTTTTGCAATTTTAATTCATTGTGTTCAAAGAAGTTGTTTATTTTCACTTAGTTTAAAAATCATTCCTCAATGATTTCAAAAGAATTTTTAAAATACTCAATTCACCCTTTCTTGAGTTTATACTTTTGAGCTAACATTCAAGCAATTGGTATTAAAATTGTGGTCTCAAATTTGCAAGTTTAAATACCTTGGGCAAAGATCCATTTAAAGCTCAAAAACCATTGCCTTGCAACCTACAACCACTTCTTTTAAAGAGGGAAAATCTATGTTAAGACCTTTTTGTTTAATGGTGATAATTATCCATATTGGAAAAAGAGGATGGAAATGTTCATCCAAGCACATGCTATAGATGTATGGAACATCATACTAAAAGGCTCTCATGTTCCTAGTAAAACCATAGAAGGTAGGATTATTGTTAAGGCTAGGAGAGAATGGGATGACAAAGACAAAAAACTTGTGCAGCTTAATGCCGAAGCTATAAATACCCTCTATTATGCCTAAAGACTAGAAAAATTCAACATAGTTTTCATGTGTGAAAATGCCAAGGAGGTGTGGGATACTTGGGAGACTCTACATGAAGGTACAAACCAAGTGAAAGAGTCAAAAATAGGATTACTCACCTTAGATTGTGAACTATTTAGGATGAAGGATAGAGAAACCATAGTTTACAAACATTAGTGGAAAGATGAAAGCACTTCAGAAACACTTCCTAAATGCATAAATGGTGAAAAAGTTGTTGTATAGCTTGCTTAATCTTGAAGGCCTAAAATGATAGCAATAGAAGAAGCTAAGAACTTAAATGGCCATAAGTTAGATGAACTAGCAAGATCTTTACTTAATTATAAGATTTCTTTTAAGCATGAAATGAAAGATATGATGAATTAAGGGAGGAAACTAAAAAGAAGGTTATTGCTCTTAAAGGTACCCAAGAATAGGAAGAAAAAAGTGCAGAAGATGATGATGAAGAGGAAAATAAGGAGATAGCTTTATTGACTAAGAAGTTTAATAGGTTCTTGAGGAACAAAAAAGTTAGTAAAGGTAGAAAACCATTTAGGAAAAATGCACTAAAAAGAAACTTAAGAATAGAGCCACTAAAAAGAAAGTCAAGCAAAGACCATATCATTTGTTATGAGTGTAGAAAACTAGGACATACAAAAAATGAATGCCCAAATGCCAAGAAGAACTACGCAAGAAATCAAAAGAAAAAAGCAATGGTGACCACTTGGAGTGATAAGGATAAGTCCCAAAGTGAAGAGGATGAGGATGTTGCCAACATATGCTTCATGGCTCTTGAGGAGCCCAAGGTACATTCTGACTAATGTTCTTCATCTTCATATGCACTAAATGATGATCTTTATACATTTGAAAAATTACAATTGCATTTGATTAGTTAGCACTTGAATTTGAATGCCTGACATTAAAGCATAAGAACAAGATCTCTAAGCTAAAACGTGAGAATGAGTTTCCAACCAATACTAAAATTGAGTTAGAAAGTGAAGTATCTAGCTTAAAAGATGTGATATGTAATTTTTAAAAAAAGAATGAGAACTTACATGATTCATTTTCAAAATTTCACATTAGCCAACAAAAGTTAAATGACAAGCTAGAAACTTAAAGAACATTTTTTGGTAAGGAAGGTTTAGGATATGATAGAACACAAAAAGAAACTCATCTTAAGAACTTCTTTGTAAAGAAAATGAGAAATATGGTGCAAACACTACACGCATTTGCTATCATAAAGTAGGGCATTCCATTTATTTTTGTCCTTTGAAAGCTACATCACAAAGAGGTAAGGTGATCAAGAGTGTTTGGATTCCAGAAGGAACTAAACCCACTCATGGTAAGGTTGTGAGATTGGAATGGGTTCCAAAGAGATCCAAAGCAGTGAGCACTAACACATATGGACCCAAGATAGTTTAGGTACCAAAATCAAAAGTTTAAAATTTTCTTTGGAGGATAAAGGAGATTGCTTGAAGTCAAATGCACAAGGAAAAAACCATGGTACCTTGATAATGGATGCTCAAGACATATGACCAGTACCAATGAACAATTTGTTAACTTGAAAGCAAAAAAAAAAAAGATGTAACCTTTGAAGACAACTCAAAAAAACAAATTGAAGAGATTAGTATTATTGGTAACCATTCTCAATCTAGTATTGAAAATATATTGTTTGTCAAAGGTCTTAAACATAATTTGCTTAGTGTGAGTCAATTATGTGAAAAAAGTTTTGCAGTCATATTTGAAGCTTTAAATTGTCAAGTTGTTGATGATAAGACTAACAAAATTTTTTTCGTAGAAAATAGAGTAAGAAATGTATATATTGTTTATTTAGATTATTTATCTTCTAATAATATGTGCTTTATGGCTAAGAAGAGTGATGATATTTGGCTATCACATAGAAAATTAAGAGATGTTAGCATGCATATTATTTCTGAATTATCTCATCTAGATCTTGTAATTGGTTTACCTAATTTAAATTTTAAAAATGATAAATTGTGTCATGCTTATGCTAAAGGAAAACATAAGAGAAGTTCATTCAATCCTAAGAAAGATGTCACAACCACTAGAGCTTTATAACTTTTGCACATAGATCTTTTTGGATCCATTAGAACTATAAGCTTAAGTGGTAAATCTTATGGATTTGTAATAGTAGGTGATTTCACTAGGTTTACATGGGTTTACTTTTTAGCTCATAA